GTGATGATTGGCAATGGACTATAATGACTCTAGTGGGTGTGAAATGTGGATAAATGCAACTAATTTTGGATTTGGATGGAAAATGGAAAGTTAGGGTTCTTAAATCCCCAATTCTGTCCGGTTTTGGATCATAGGGTTAGAGGCCGAATTTGACTTTGCTCAAAACATGAAAGTTGTAGGTATTGATGTGTTTGAGGTGCCTGTAAAATTTCAGGTCATTTGGATTAACGTAGAATGAGTTATGACGAAATTACTGTAGCTGTTCTGCTTTGGACAGAATGCGAAAACTGTACTGGTTATTGGCCATTTTGACTGGAATTGGTTTGGATTTAGTTGTTGGTGTCTTCTGATACAATGTAGCTGGATGTCTTAGCTAACTTATGCCTTTGGAATTTCGGCATTTGGACTTGTATGGACTGAGATATACCGATTACAGTTTTCTCTGTTTTGCAAACCTGTTTTTGTGATTCTGGTTTAGTGTTTGGCATTTTTGACCTAGTTGGGCTAGGAACTGGATTGAGTGACCTTCTACATTGTTGTAGCCCTGTTCCATATCTTCGAAACGGTGGGTCTTACACCCCCATCCGATAATTGTAGTGAGAGTTGTGCCATTACCGCATTATGACGTCAAAACCGGTTTTCTTATCAAGGCCTAAGTTAAAGCCCTTTTCTTAATTTCTGGTTTGCTATCATGCTTGTATATGTTTATAAAACCCTATTGGGGTTGTAATTGGTATGGCTTTATGACTCGTTATCGAGTCTCTTTTAGGGCTTGCTTTCATTTCGGTTGTTTCCTAGCTAACTTTTGTACTTGTACCACTTTGAGCCTAGCGAACGGCTTTTGAGAAATGAGATGAATTTTGTGTGAGATGTTGGGACTGATTTGAGGATAGAATGAAGCCTTAATGGCTGGAAAAGTAAGAAATTTAGGGGAAGTGCTGCCCGATTTTCTAGGCCGTTTGGTTCCTTTAAGTTGGATTTGCCTTTTGGGTAGAATGAAAGGCTTTTGGGTTGTTTGCGCCTAGGTCTTCATACTACCTTTTCGTTTCCAAGAAAATCATGTTTTTGCATTCTTGCATTAGTATTTAATTGGCAAGGCGTACGACGTGTAGTCGAGCCTCACATGTGCATTCTGTTTACTCGATTCTGGAAGTAAAACCTTCAATTGGTTTATTTTGATTATTTTAGGGTTTCTTGGCGATTAAGGCCAATCTGAAGTGAAAACTTTTGAAGTTGAGTCGGTGAGTGTACCACTCCCCTCCATTGCTGTTTAACTTGATTTCTGCTCTGCAATCTGTTTAATTTGTTGAGACGAGGGTGTACTTTATCACACTCGTTCTCTTGTCTGTTCATATGCCAATTTTGAGTGCCTATCTGAATCTGCCGTCTGAATCTGCTATCTGAATCTGCTATTCTGTATCTGTATCTGAATCTGTTATCTGTGTCTGCATCTGTTCGGATTTCTATGACCTATGAGCTCAATCCTGTGACTAAGTTATTCGAGTCGGGCCGGCAAGGGCCTGGACGATTAGATAACGAACCACGGTAGTCTGTTCGGGGATTTTTGGGTATTGAGACCCTTGATTCCGGTATACTCGAGTATTACCATTTCTGTTCGGTTACGGTGAGCGGGCCCGGTAAAGGGGTGTTTGGTGGACGGAATTCGGTGTAAAGAGGGGTCTACGGACGCGTTGGTTCTATATACGTTGACGGAGAGTCAACCGGTTCGGATCAAGTACTGCGCTGGGAAATTTGGCTCCTGAGAGCCACCCGTATCCTTCTGATTTGAATCATTGGTTCCTTTGCTTTACATCTGACATGTGTATCTGATTTGCTGAACGTGAAATGCCATGATTTTAATGCTATCTGTTTGGTACCTCATTGAGCGCTAGCTCACCCCTTTCTGTTCCTTTTGTTTTTCTTACAGGAAAATAAACCCTTTTGGTCTGGATTTGACAAATGGCTGCCAAATTGAGCTAGTTGAACATATCTTTTGTATAGCTCATGTATTAAAACCCTAAGTGTACTTTTGGGGCGTTTTCTCTTTTGATTTGGCAAACCGTGTGTATATATTAACTTTTGAAAACTTTTGTATGTCATTTTGATTTGTAAATGCTAAAGTTCATATGTGAATGTTTGTTGGCTATTTCGGTTGGGTTCTGACGGGTCGGTTACTATTCATGGCCGACTCCGGATTTCATTTTTTTATTTTGGGTTATTTTACCATTTTGACTTGTTTACGCTCGTTTGTAAATTCCGGATCGCTATAGATAGTTCTAGTCTGCATCGCGAGTCCTGGCGAGAGTTGGGCAGGCAGTCCGCTCACCCCTTTGGTTCGCCTTAGGGGAAAGTGGGGCTGTTACAGAAACACTCCATGTAGACACCAAATTTTTGATTCTTTAATTTTATTGGTTTAATTAATTTAATTTTTTGCTTTATTTGTTTCAATTCTAGGGTTTTTATTTTATTTTATTTTTATTTTATTATCCATTTTGCTCATTAGTCTTTTAACTTTTATTTTAAAGTTTTTAGTATTAAACTTTATCGGAAAAAGGAAAAAGAGGAAAAAAAAAAGAAAATATGCAAAAAATATAATAAGGGAAATGTGTGAAATAGGTGGAAATTTGCATGCTAGACAAGTGGAGAATATACAATAGGACAAGTGTCCCTTTTATATTGGGACAACACATCACTTAGGGAGGGGGAGATTGAGACACTTGTAGGTTGTTGATTTGAAAAGAAAAGAAAAAAGAAAAAGCAAAAAGAAAAACCAGCGACGGGGAAAAGAAAGAAAAACGGCAAAGAACTAAGGGAGCTGAGATAGGGAATGACGGCTGAAGTTACAAAATAGAGGGGGGCGGAGAAACAGAGGGCAGACGGAAAGAAAAAAAGAGAGGAGAAAACGGCAGAGAGAGAAAAATCGAATGGGCTAGGGTTTTTGTGGGCAGGAAAACAATGAGAGAAAGAGGGAGGTCTGGGAGCTTCAGGAAGAAGGGAGGAAACACAGACAACAACGGGGAGAGCAAGAAAAGTCCTGGCGGCGGCTAGGTTCTGGGTGTGGATAGAAGAGAAAAAACGGAGCTGTGAAGTAAGAATACAGCGGCTCGGGGAAAGAAACCATGGAGGAGAGCTTCGGCCAAAGTGAGAGAGAAGAGACACAAAGAAAATACAGAGCAACAGCCGCTTATCGGCCATCACAGCGTGCAATCTCCATAGCTGCCGTCACTCTGCTCTCATCCAATTTCCACCACCTCCACCTTCATCATCAGTCCACCATGATCACGTCGACGGCTGTCAATCACCCCAACCCAAACCCTCCGATGCTCAGGCCAACGAAGCCACCACCGCAACTTGCCATTGCCGCCTGAGAAGTTTCACCAAGAACATTGTAAGCCGTTTTCTCCCCTTAAATTGCAATTTTACCTCTTCAAGGGCAAACTCTGGAAATCCCCAACCCCAAGCATGCTTCGGTGAATTGGTCATTGAGACTTTCTTGATTGATTGCCCGTCGTTTGTTGTTGATCGTATGTGCTCTTATGGGATTAATTGGACAGAAGTTTTGTTTATTGAATCATGTTGGGCCGATTATAGTTCCAATATATCAAAAAGCGGTGAAACTTTTAATGCCCCCTGCAGAGGCCCTGTCCTGGGCCTAGACACGTGGCAGCCCAGGTATGGCCGAGCAGGGCCTCGACCTCAAGCCCCTGGTAACTGTCCTGGGCCATAGTCACTAGGGCTCCAGAAGGGCCAGGGGACCATCCCGCAGAGGTTAGAGGAGATCCCCCTCGGCGCGGGATAAGGGCTATCCCGGGCAAGTCCCGAAACGTACGGAGGTCGGACTCTTGAACTGGTATAAATGGTAACGCCCACCACCTACACAAGGTACGCTCACTAGTGGCACATTACTCTCGGCTGCTTAATTCCCGTAAACCTCATCCACCGGAGAACTAACTTGACCGTCAGAGTGCCCTCGGGGACGACCTCGGGGCCCCCTGTTAGATCACCCTGTTGTCTGTCTTGCAGGCTTGGGACCAGCTCTACCCATCAGCACACCGAGCTCATCAGTTCAGTTCGGTCCGGGGAAGCTCAGCGTTTCTTCAGTTGGCGCCGTCTGTGGGAAGCGTAAGGTAAACAAGACTGTGTTGATGGCGAGAAAGCGATCCAACCGAACGATAGAGAACACCGACCCTGGAGCCGGCGAAGGATCCCAGCGAATGGAGGCCGAGGCGGCTCGGGGTGCGGGGGGCTCAGCCCTCTCAGGGGAGCGGAGGCAGCAGATCTTCCAGTTCGTGACGGAGAACCTCCCCATGCTGGAAGACATTATCCTGCAGGCGAAGGAGGGAGAGGGGGCTGGAGGTGCGCAGACCTCCAAGGCGAAGGCGAAGGAGAAGGAATCACCTCCCGACCCCTCGGAGGATGAGTTGCGGGACCAGCCCCCTAGAAGGAAACGGCCACGGACTCCCCCTCGCCCACGGGCCTCGGTGGTTGGAGACAGCGAGAGATACTCCCGCGACCGATCCGCTGGGAGCCGTCCAAGAGACCCCTCCCCCCGAAAACCCACGCGGAACGGGCTTGAGCGTTCTCCTGCTCGGTCTGTTAAGAGCCGGCCTCGCGACCCCCCTCAGTGGAAACCTGTCCGAGACGAACTCGAACAGATCCTGTGGCCACGATTGTACGAGGACAACTACACGACCTCGCCCTTCCCCCGGGAGATAGAGGATTACCTACTACTCCGGAGGTTCAAGATCCCGAGCATTGAGATGTATGACGCTTCAACCGACCCGGAAGACCACCTCTCAGTCTTCCTGACGCACATGCGTCTGCAAACAGCCGCGGATGAGATCCGTTGCAAGACCTTCCCCATGTTCTTGAAGGGGAAGGCTCGGCTCTGGTTCCAAGGTCTAGCACCAGGGTCTATCCGGAGTTTCCCTGAACTAGCCAGATAGTTCGTAACCCAGTTCGTTTCCTCGAAAACTTACTCGAAAAACGCGACTCACCTAATGGCTATCAGGCAGAGGCTCGACGAGTCCCTGAAGAATTTCATGACCTGTTTCAACGCTGAGAGTTTACAGGTCAGGGACAAAGACGAAAAGGTGGTCATGGTCGCCTTCATGAATGGGCTCAGGGTAGAGGAGCTCTTCTACAAGCTGGCCGAGAAACCTCCTGGAAATCTGGAGGAGCTCTTGACCAGGGCACACGCGGCCGCTAATGCGGAGGAGGCTGGCCGTCTAAAGAAAGAGTCAGATCGAGAGCTCAGAAATCGGAGAGGACGGGGAAACCCCCCCGATAGCAAGGATGGCCCGACCAAGAAAAACGTCTTTGACCGGCTCTCGAGGGAGCAAGCCCCTGCTCCGCCACCACTCCCGGAGAAAGGCTACACCCCCTTGACTCGACCCAGGGCCCAGATCTTGGCTGTCATGGAGGCGGAAGGCCTGGGAGGTCGCCCGCGCAAGATGGGAACACCCCGGAACAAAAGGAACCAGGACCGGTACTGCGCTTTCCATCGCGACGTTGGGCACGACACGGAGGGGTGCTGGGCCCTACGGAAGAAGATCGAAGGTCTGATCCAGCGCGGTTTTCTGGGGCGGTTCGTGAGGCAAGGTCGACCTGACCAGGAGGCGGAGCACACCTACCGCGGAGGTCAGGGCGAGGGCCGGAGTCGCGACCGCCCTGAGCAGCGTGACGCACTTCGGGGCCACTCCCCCGATCCGGACACCCAGAACCTAGCGGGAGTGATAAACACCAATGCTGGTGGTCCCACGGGGGGGGACAGCCATGCAGCTCGGAAGAACCGTGTCGCGCCCCACTTTTTAATAGTGTGTGAGTAGTGTGTAGGATATGTATGTGAACCTGTGTGAAAGTGAAAATAAAAGGCCGTGGGATTGTGAAATGCGACGGTTTGGCCAAATAAAGTTCAAAAAGGGTTTTTTGAATAGAAAATGGAGTCGCCACTTGGAATAGAGTTAGGGTGTACCAAGTCACCCAAAAAATGATTTTTTGTTTTTTGAAGGAAAAAGTAAATAAACCATTTTAAAGAACTTTTAGGTCTACGTAACCAAAGAAAGGGATCGGGGGTCACATTTTGTAAGGAAGAAGGCAAAGGCAAAGTCTAAGGCACTCCCTTACCCTAGCCAAAGCTAGTTGCGTGACTTAACCCTACTTTTTCTAATTCTTCTACCCAAAGTATGTATCGCATGTTGGATATGACTAATGGATGCGCAAAGGAAGAATGCAATCCTAAATCTAAAATGTCTCTTATGAAGCCTTTTGGTCCCAATCACATTAGTTTGTGATGGCCAGTAAGGAAAGCCCTCATATAGGTTACAAACAATGCAAATGAAGACTCAAGTATGAGTGTAAGTGTGCAAATGTAAGAAGAGTGCATGTGTGCAAAAGTAAGAAAATCAAGGCATGTGTGTGCCAATTGAGAAAATAAAGGTGTTTGTGTGCAAGTGGATGAAAATATGGTAGTAAATATATAAGTGCAATTGAGTGCAATTCATGAGGTAGAAAAATAAATAAGTGATAGGAAAAATGTGCAAACATGGCATGTGAATTGAGAAAAATATAAGTAGTGAGAAAAATGTAGATAAAAAGATGAGGAAGTGCATGAACCTAGAGGAATGCATCAAGTCGGGTACGGGAATGACTCCTAACTTCATGATTTTAATTTTTCCTTTGATTAGAAGGAAGAACCAGCGTGCTAAGGCTATTTTGTAGCCACACTCGCTCGTTTCCCTTATCGAAAGGGGACTCTCAAGCAAATGTACCCTATAACTAGCATGAGGATGCAAAAACCTAAAATGAAGGGGAAAGGATTGGAGGAGCATGCCAAATGCTAGAAAACTAAGAAAAATGCATGAAATGTAGTGAAACATGCAAGTATGTACTAACCAAAAGGGACGGCCTATTGGGTCTAGCATTGGGCTAGCCCTTTCTATGAACTCCTCCTAGCATTGGACTAGTGGAAAACGGAACAATGAGCCATAACTAGCGTTGGACTAGTGTGGTGACGTGCATTCATCCATCACATTCATCCATGGCTATAGAAAGCAAGTAGACATGCCAATCACCTATAAACACGTAACACATAACACTTAGCATGCTCGACTAAATGCAAGAGCCTAATAAAGCAACTTAACACGTAGCAACAAAAGCAAGCAATCAAGCTAATGAACCTATTACGTTTGCTAACTAAAACAAATGGGGAAGGGAAAAAAAATGCTCTTCAAGCCCTATCTATTACAAGCCAAGAGGTGTATACATACCCCATAAAAGAATAACTTAATAAAAGCAAAAGTAAATGAAATGAATGAAAAGAATTAAGAAAAAAATAAGGAAAGCAAAGTAGACATGCAATTCTCACTTAGCACGTTGGATCACATAGGAGAGAGACAAAAAAAATAAAGAAGTTATACCTCCCTTGAGTTGATGCCTTAAATGGAGTGAAATCACTTATTTATCCTCCAAAATAAAAGAAATGGTCAAGGTATCAATTTATTTGAGAAAATTAAAGAAAATAGGCAAACACAAGCTCACTTGGTCATAAAGCCCCTAAAGTCATGACTTTAAGTGCAATTGAAACAAAGCATAGTAATTAATTGAAACAAACAACCAATGAAGTTGTAGAATTAAAACTGCCAAAGACCAAATTGAGGAAATTATTCAATTGGTTGGGTCATAACGGCATTAATTGGAAGCCAAGGGGTTGGAGTGCAATTTTCAGAGAATTATTTCATGCAAATTCATGCAGCTACGTGAGAAATAATTTGCAACCGGAAATATTTCTGATACCAACTTTCTGCAACCAAGAAATATCACCGCAACTTGCATTTCCACACACTGATTTCCACCTCAAGCAATCTTTTGATCAAAACTTCTCAACCAAACAATAAAGCCTTAATCTAAACCAGCTAAAAAGCAACATTCAGCATTCAATCCATACAAAAGTTAAAGTTAGATCATGCAAAAGGCAAGTTTTCCTCAAAAGCTGTTCTTCTTCATTACCGATTATTTACCACAATTTTGCAGCTCATTTCATGCGGTTGGGTCCATATAGTAACTCTAACAACCTGTTATCTTAACAGAATCCAATTTTAAAACACTTCATTCGATAGATGAAAGCAATAAAAATGACTCAAACATACACAGAGCAGCAAAAGATACCCGAGATTTCATGCATCAAGAAATGCTACAAGCATCCGTATCTCCATAACACAAGGGAATGTAGAATTGCAGCAGAGACGTGAAGATACTCACGGCAAACATGTCTATAGCCCACTATCATAGTAATTGAACATCAACAGACCCAAAACTTGAACAAAGAAAAGGGAAAGTCATGGCTGCTGCAAATTAAACTACTTGTTGCAGCCCAACATATATCACACATTACTACTTGAAACGGTAGCAAAAAACATACATGGGATACCATGAAACAAACAAAACCCAGGAGGTAGCTTAAGCCATTTTTGGAAAAAACTTTAACAGCCCCAAAAGATCGAATTTTTTATTGTTGCAACCAAACCAGAAATCCAAACCTGTTGCAGCCGACCTTCATACACAAACATAACAAAAATATGATTCAAGCAAAACCCATGGACTCAAATCCTTTAACGACTGAACACTTTGATTGATACAACCCAATTATGAACATTACTTTTGAAGATCAAGCGAGGAACCAGACCAAGAACATGCAGTGACATAAAATAAAAAAACAACAGCTTTCTAAGCTTCTTGAATGGAGCAGCCTTGCTAAGCAGGAAAAGGCCGTGAATTCGCACCCAATCACAAACCCACATGACCTCATACTCTCACGCGAAATTTAACGTATCCTCATGTAAGAAAATCTGATCTAGCTACTATGAAATAAGCGGAACAACAACAGAAAGGAAAGAAAATAGGAAACAAATCCGACAACAATTTTTTGATAAGTATGATGTGATTCTGAGCTTAAATGAAATGGGATAAGATGAACTGCCTCACCTTTGATGCTTGAAAGAGACGAAATCACACGATATAGCGCGAAGGGGACAGACCCAAGTGCGAAAACTTGAAGATTAAAGCTTCCTGGAACCAACTTTACGGACTGACGAGGTAAGGATTTCGAGCCTCCATTTCAGCGTGCTTGGAGACGCTTTCGTGAGGACTTCCTGAACGGGATTCCCTCTTCTGACTTCCTACTTGGTGCGGAAACAAAGATCTGCTCAGATGAAGCAAACCGGAAGGAGATCTGACGTGAAAGGTAGCCCTTTTTTTTCAGGTTTTCTGGAGAAACTTTTCTCCTTCTTTCTTTTCTGGTTCCCTCCCAAGCCTTTTCCACTCAGCCGTAGCTTTTTCTCTCTTTCGAACTCCTTTCCCCAGTTTTCTTTTCAGTGTCTCTCCCTTACTTTCTACCCTAGCCGCCAGTCAGATTTCTCTCTTAGATTTTCAGCCGTCACCCCCTCTTTGGTCTCTTTCTTTCGTCGTCACAACTCTCAGATTTCTATTCCCTACTCTCACTCAGCCGTTCTTTCACTCAGCCGCCAACCCTTTCCTCTTTTCCTCTCAACCTCTCCGCCGTCAGAACTCTCTCGGCCTGTCTACCTGACCCCGCCGCCAACCCTCTCTAGCTCTCTGGTTCCTTTCTTTTATCAGCCGTCATCTCGTTTCTCTCTTTTCAGATTTTCCGCCGTTACTAGGTGCTCTCCCAATCTCTCTTTTGCTCTCCCCGTTACCCTAGCCGTCTGCCTTTCTTTTTATAGGGGAACCCCAGGTCCCTAAAACCCTCAAAACTCATCTTGATGGCCCTAAATGATTCCAGCCCCAGCCCCCCTCCTAGCCATTGATCATGGTTTGGAATTGGAGCCCTTAGATGGAACTAGATGGCCTATACTTACCTTATCTTAACGGAGCCGGAAAATGCAGTAATGAAAATAGACCAAATGCCAGAAACCGCAGGAACTATCTTTTCTCTTTTTTTTTTATTATTCATTTTCTCTTCTCTTTTCCCTTTTTTTTTCAAAATAAACAATAGACCTTCCTAATTTGAATCTAAAAATTCAAAGAATAATTTTTTTGTGAGCAATTCTCTCTTTTTCTTTTCTCTTTTTTTTTTTCAAAAAATCTTAAAATTAATAGACAAATAAGCAAAAATGAATAAAATTAACAAATAAAACTAAATTAAAAGATTTGATGTCCAAAATGCTTTAAAAAAATCTAAGATAAAATTTTGAGATAATTAAAACAAAAACGAGTAAAAATTTGGTGTCTACAGTTTGCCCCTCTTTGTCTGAGTTTTGAAAAAACTTGAGACAAAGAAGTAGACACCAAATGCTGACCTGTGTCATTCGGTTGCCACTACTCGGAGGACTGGCCTAAACAAGGAATTTTAAACATGGGACTGGCCCGAATAAAATCTAAAATTTAAAATCATGGGACTGACCCGAATAAAATTTAAAATCATGGGACTGGCCCGAATAAACTTTTAAAATCATGGGACTGACCCGAACAAAATTTAAAATCATGGGACTGGCCCGAACAAGAGATTTAAAATCATGGGACTGACCCGAATAAAATTTAAAATCATGGAACTGACCCGAATAAAACTTAAAATCATTGGACTGGTCCGAACAAGAGATTTAAAATCATGGGACTGACCCGAATAAAATTTAAAATCATGGGACTGACTCGAATAAACTTAAAATCATGGGACTGACCCGAATAAAATTTAAAATCATGGGACTGACCCGAATAAATTTTAAAATCATGGGACTGGCCCGAACAAGAGATTTAAAATCATGGGACTAACCCGAATAAAATTTAAAATCATGGGACTGGTCCGAACAAGAGATTTAAAATCATGGGACTGACTCGAATAAAATTTAAAATCATGGGACTGACCCGAATAAAATTTAAAATCATGGGACTGACCCGAATAAAACTTAAAATCATGGGACTGACCCGAATAAACTTTTAAAATCATGGGACTGACCCGAACAAAATTTAAAATCATGGGACTGGCCCGAATAAGAGATTTAAAATCATGGGATTGGCCCGAACAAAATTTAAAAATCATGGGACTGACCCGAATGGAGTGCACACCGGTGGGACTGACCCATGTTCAGTGGCTACGCAAAATGAAATACTCATTAGTGGGACTGACCCAACGGCTAGCGGCAAAATAAAAGAAATGCTGATATGTATGAAGAGACTGTGTAGGACTTGCTCGAAAAACTATCCGAAGATTTGCTCTAGTGTGATGAATTGGTCAGTGGGATTAAACCCGAGTCTGCCTTGATAATTGGTAGGTCAGTGGGATTAAACCCGAGCCTGCCTTGATAAATCGGTCGGTCAATGGGATTAAACCCGAGCTTGCCTTTGACAAATTGGTCAGTGAGATGAAACCCGAGCCTGCCTTAATAAATTGGTCAGTGGGATGAAACCCGATCCTGCCATTCATTGGTCAGTGGGATGAAACCCGAGCCTGCCTTGATAAATTGGTCGGTTAGTGGGATTAAACCCGAGCCTGCCTTTGACAAATTGGTTGGTCAGTGGGATTAAACCCGAGCCTGCCTTGGTTGCACAAAATCCAAATCCAATGGGATGTTGGTGGCACAAAATCCAGGCCCAACGTGATCCTTGTGGGGTTGGCGGCACGAAATCCAGGCCCAACAGGATGTTTGTAATGTTGGTGGCACCAAGTCCAAACCCAACTTGATTTTTGTGATGTTGGCGGCACGAAATCCAGGCCCAACGTGATTTTTGTGATGTTGGTGGCACCAAGTCCAGGCCCAACGTGCTTTTTGTGAAGTTGACGGCACGAAATCCAGTCCCAACGTGAACTTGCGATGTTGGCGGCACCAAATCCAGGCCCAACGTGATTTTTGTGAAGTTGGCGGCACGAAATCCAGGCCCAACGTGAATTTTGCGATGTTGGCGGCACCAAGTCCAGGCCCAACGTGAACTTTGTGCGTGAACTTTGTGATGTTGGCGGTACCAAGTCCAGGTCCAACGTGAATTTTGCGATGTTGGCGGCACCAAGTCCAGGCCCAACGTGCTTTGCGATGTTGGCGGCACGAAATCCAGGCCCAACGTGAACTTTGCGAATGGTCAGTGGGATAAGACCCAGTCCTGCCATCCAATTGGTCAAGAAATTGAATTTGATTTGTCAAGAAAAAAGCAATTAAATTTGATTTTCCAGAAAACAAGAATTTGAACTTGATTTTTGACTTTTGAATTTTTCTGATTTTTCGAGAGAATCTTTTTCAAAAATAATTTGCCCCAGTGTAGGGCCCTTTTCCCTTCTTTCTTCTTTTTCTTCGGCATCAGCCTTCCACATCACCAGATGCTCTTTCGTCGATTTCAACTATGAATACCTGCACAGGGGCTTACCAAAATATGGCATGCACTCAAATTTTTGTGAAAAGAAACAGCGTGATTGATTTGAAAAATGCATTATTTTGATTCTTGAACGAAATCCTCAATTGGACTACAAAAATATTTGCCCCTGTGTGGGCTTATTCTCACGAATTCTCATAACAAAAATTTGCCCCAGTATGGGCCATTTAATTGCAAAAACTTGTTTGGATGACTTTCCATTTATTTGAACACTATAAGAACTATGTTTCCTAAAAGAAAATTTCATGGTGAATTTCTTGAAATAATACCAAATTACAGAAGATTTCTTCCTCACTTTTAGCATCTGTGTTTTGGGTAATGGGTCACCATTTCCAGTTGGCTTATCTTTAGGACCAATCAAGTGACTTTATTTCTGATTTTGAGGTGGCTAAGGAAAATGAGAGGTCAGGATTTGTCTTATTTTTTGTGCCCAAATTGTATGTAATCCCTTCAATACCACATCTTAGTGAAAACAAAGAGTTTGTCACCCTTATTTCTTAAGAAAACTTAGTCAACGTATAAGCTTTTATAGGCTTGCAACAAAATGGGTAGAAACGATAGGTAAACCTGTGAAAACTGGTTATACCCCCATGATCACAAATGATTGATGGATTTCTTACGAGTGTAGACACCAAATTTTTGGTGTAATTTCTTTTACTTTTTATTCTCATTTGTCGTGGTTGCTTTTTAGTTTTTTTTTTAGTTTCTAGTTTTTATTTTATTTTTAAGTTTTAGCGTAGAAAATCATGCAAAAGAAGAAAAAAAGAGAAAAATCATGAAGAAGAAAAAAAAGAGAAAAAACGATGAAAATGGAATAAAAAAAAAAAGTCACGCATGCCAAAAGCTGCGTGTTGCCGCAGCTTGCAAGAAGAAATTGCAGGGAGTCCTTGGGGGGTAAAATTAGCTACAATGGCCAGGTGCCTAGGACACCTGGAAGGGGAGATGAATCTAGAAGAAGGGGGGCCGTAGGATGAAGGGTTCGGGGGAAGTTGGGTTGCATTTTGAGAATAGCCGTAAAGGAAACGAGAGAGAGCTGAGGGTAGATGGCTAGGAAAGGAAACCAGAAAAGAGGGTTTCAGCAAGAGCAGAGAGAAATCTAGAAATGGGAGGGGTTCCTTCGGAGGATTCGAACGATAGCCATAGCAAGGAAAGGTCATAACCACTGCCCGTAAACCTCCATAACCATCGCCCTACACCACCCCTGCACTTCCTCATGCTCTTCCACTTCTTCCTGGCTGACCTGAATAGCCAACCCATCATCATCTACCCAACGCCAACCACCAGTCCACATCTGCTGCTGCTACTGTCCATCGACCACCACCAACACCGCCACCATCCAGGTTCAAGTTGGTTTCAAAAACTGAGAAGCGAGAGAGAACAAGGGAGAGGGTTGAGTTTCTGTGTGAGTTTGATAGAAATAGAAAGGGCAGTGGCGGCTGAGTTCTAAGATCTGAAACTAAAAAGGAAAAGGGAGAGATTAGAGAGTTGGGGATGGCTGTTCGAGTAAGGAGACAGAGAGAGAGGAAAGATTGAGGGTGACGGCAAGAAGTGAACCGAGAGCTTTGTGAAGTAAGAGTGAAAAACAAGCAAAGGGAGGACTGAGTAGAGTTGGCGTCTGTGGGGGTTTAGAAACGAAAACCAAAGAGAGACGGAAAGAGGAAAAAGAAGAAGCCACGGCTAGGAGGGAAATCGAAAGGAACCCACGAAGCTATTGCATCAGAATCTGCCGTTGCAAGTTCAAAGCTGTTAACAGGTAGCCTGCGATCCTTTCTCTGTTCTATTTTTCATTTCCTTATGAAATCTGATTGCTAGACATATGATGTTTCATGCGTTCCTTGTCATTATACGTCCCAAAGCTGAGTCTTTTGCTCACTTGGATGTTGTGGGAGTCGATTTAGCAGTCCAGATTTTTCTGTCATAGCAGTTTTTCTTTTTCTTGGCTGTCGAATGAGAATCTAGTTCAAGGTCCTGTTTTTGATTGTTGAGTAAAATACCATGAAGTGCTGTACTTTTGGTTACCAAAGTTTCCCTTGGATGAGGCAAGGAAAGTTTCCATTCTTTTGGTATTGCTAAGTTGGTTTTTTTCCTGGACATGAAGCCTGGATATTTTGTTATATTTCTTCAGCCAAATTCTGGACAAAACTTGCGTCTTCCTGTAGCTTATTTTGGTTTGGATTTCATTTGAAACATTGGGTTCGATTGTGCTTTGAGAGTCATGACATGTAGGCACTCATTCCAATCTGTTTTCACGTTGTCCAGCTTGGTATGGCTGAACTTGTTGGGTTTAGATCATTACATTTGAAGGAGCTTTAAATTGTTTTTGTTGGCTTTGATACTGCCCGTACCATGCTTTATCATTTAACATTGTCCTGAGGAAAATCTGGAACTCTTGTTTGCCATGAGGAAAGTGGCCTTTCATACTCCTGTTTGCTGTCTTCTTCCCCGTGGCAGCCCCAAGTGTTAAATCATCTCTTCATATGAACATTCTGCCCAGAATTTTGCATCAGTGTGCCTTTTGCTATTTGAATTTCCTTCCCATATCTTGTTTGTAGGGATGTCAAACTCATGTCTTGTTGGTTTGGTTCAAAGTTTGGATGTTAGATCAAAGGAACTTTGGTTATGATACATGCTTGAATCTGAAATTTGGTCTTGGAAGTAGGAGCTAGGAAAGTTATGGCAGCTTCATTCTTCAAATGTTTTGCCCATCTTTTTTTTTTTTTTTTTGAACTTTGCGTGGGATTTTTTCTAAGTTTTTCTCTTTGTTTGGATGGAGGTTATGGTGCAGTTTGCTGATTAGTTTAAGGTTGTGAATTTGGAGTTGAAATCTGTTCTTGAAAAACAAGCTGTGTGTTTGAGTGTGGTTTTGGTTGATGAAGCATGACAGAAATTTTTGCAGAAAAATGTTTCCTACGTGGGTTGCATGCTTTTGCATGAAAAATGTCCAAGGAAATTGCCTTTTAACCCCCCCAAGTCTCCCCTTGTTCCACTATGACCCAACCAATTGAATGTTTTCTCAATTTGGTCCTTGGTAGTTTTTAATTTTACAACTTCATTGCTTGTTTGCTTCAATTAACTACTATGCTTTGTTTAAATTGCACCTCATGCATGAATTTAAGAGCTTTATGACCATGTGAGCCCGTGTTTGCATGTTTTCTTTAATTTTTCCCAAATAAATTGGTGCATTGACCATTTCTTTTATTTTGGAGGATAAATAAGTGACTTCACCCCACTAGAGCTCCATTTCAAGGGAGGTATAATTTCTTTTATCTTTTTTGTCTCTCCCCTATGTGATCCAACGTGCTACGTGAAAATTGCATGTCTACTTGCTTCCCTTATTTTTCTTTAATTCCTTTCATTTACTTCATTTACTTTTGCTTTTTATTTAAGTTATTCCTTATGGGGTATGTGTACACCTCTTGGCTTGTAATAGTTAGGGATTTAATTATTTTATTCCTTTTCCCCCTTTTAGATTGTAGTAGGGTCTCCCTAATGTAATAGATAGGGCTTGGAGGAGCATTCAATGAAGACCTTTCGAAGTCATGTGCCTAGCTAGCAAATGTAATAATTAGGGCTTTGTTAGGGCCTTGCATCTAGTCGAGCATGCTAAATATTATGTGCTATGTGTTTATAAGTATTTGGCATGTCTACTCGCTTTCCATAGCCTGAATGAATGTGATGGATGAATGTACGTTTCCACTAGTCCAACACTAGTCGGAATTCATAGAATGGGCTAGTCCCACGCTAGACCCTTAGGGATTTCCCCTCGTTAGTACATGTTTGCATGTTCATTACATGTCATGCATTCTTTTTAGTTTTATCATTTTGCATTCCCCTCGAACCCCTTTTCCCTCCATTTTAGGATTTTTTGCATTTCATGCTAGTTATAGGGTTCATTTGCTTGAGAGTCCCCTTAAATATGGGATATAGACGAGTGTGGCTTTTTCTAAGCCTTAGCACGCTTGTATTCCCTCTATAAAAGGGCAAATTGAGTCACGATTTAGGTCTCCCCGTACCCAATATGCATGAATTCCCTAGGCTCATGCATTTTTAAATCCACTCTACCATTTTATACCCTCATCACACTTTCATTTTTCCTCCCATTTTGCACACGTGCACCTTTATGTTTCTTCACTTGCACACGAACACTCTTATCATCACTTGCACACATGCACTTCATATTATCATTTCACATACCGTACCTTGCCCACTCACGTGCACATTTTCATTTACATATTTATTGTTTTTTATTACTTTTTTTAACTCATGTCCTCACATTGCATACATGCATTCCATTCATTTGCATCCAACTCGCATTATTCGTGACTTCTTCAAAGGATCGTTATTGGGCTTCACAATTAATGTGATTGGCACCACTCAACCTTTGAAGAGAAATTTCCCCCAATACCCCTAGGTCTAGGGTTTGCATTCATGTAGTGCATCCAAATGTAATAAATTCTTTGGTTAAAACAAGAAAATCTTTGATTAAATCATGCAATTAGCCTTGGCTAGGTCAAAGGGGTGCCTTGGATTTTATCCTTGCCTTCCTCTTTGTCAAATGTGACTCCCGAACCTTTTTCTTTGGTTTACGTGGACTAGGAGTCGTTTAAAAGGGGTTTCTTACTACTTTTTCCTATTTTTTTCTTTAAAAATTCATTTTTTGGTGACTTGGTACACCTTAACTCATTACCAAGTGGCGACTCCAATTTTTATTTCAAAAACCCTTTTTAAACTATAATTTTTGGGTCAAATCGTCGCATTCTCAACCCCCCATTTAGACCCATTTTTTCTTTTAAATCACAATTCTTTTTCCAATCACAAAAAAAATACATTTTTTAAACCATTTATTTATTTATCAAAAAATGGAGTGCGATAGTTGGCGACTCCACTGGGGAAATTCGAGAGTCCGAGCAAATTTGATTTAATCAATCTTTTTCTTCTTTTAACCTTTTCATATATCACATTTGGGTGTTTTAGGGTTGCATTTTTTCCTTTTTTAGGATTTTGCATTTCACGCGTGTCCAACTACTCCCTCGCTCGCGAATGTATGATTGGTTGATTGGATGTATGTTTACTTATTTATCTCGCGCTTGCATTGCATTTGGGTGGGGGACATCACCCTAGAGCCTCGCGTTGGTTCTTGATCCCTCCCCTCCAAACGAGCACTAGCATACGTGCATACGCTTTAATTTTTCACCCCTCATTTATTTTTCTTTTAGTGGCTTGTCACACCACTCCACCCTATTAGGATTTTAGGCGTCTCACTTGGACATGTGATCGTGACACGACGTGTGCGTAGCATGATCCGAGGGGTCACTCAATCTTCCGCTTTAAAATTTGATTTAATAGCCTTTAGTTTTTAGTCGAAGGTTGAGGATTTCTTTAGATTCACTCAGACATGTGGCCGTGACACGACGTGTGCGTAGCAATGTCTGGGGAATCGCTCGAGCCACCGACAAGGAACCTTAGGAGTGATGACCTTTGGTTTCCAAGTCTGAAGGCTCGGGGACCTGAGCTTATCGAGTCTAGATGCATTAGTGAGCCAAACCTCATGCATCCATTTTAGAATTGCCTAGGGTAGAGTCGACCTTACCCTATTAAGGACACCATTCACGAGGGGAGGGATCCCACTCTCTTTCCTTATTTCTTTGTTGCTTTTATATCATCTAATTGTCCAACGTGTTATGTGATTATGTGTTGAACTAACGTTTCCTTGTTTCTTATCTTTCGCATTCACAAACGTTAGGAAATAAGAGGTCTGACATGATCCTCTTTTAGGACCTACACTTATAGATAGGCCATTGCACGTTTAGAAATTTCGGTATATTTCATTCGTAAATTAATAATGGCATGTCATTTTTAGGCCTACCCTGGCAAATAAAGGGTTCCTTAGGTCAAGTTTCATTTCGAATTGCATATTCACATTGCTTTAATAAATGGCATCATGCATTAAACCCTAGAAAGGGAATGCCATTTAGGGGATCCCGTACTAGGAATAAATCGCCCTGTGTCTCGGATAATTAATCCAAGGAGACTTGCACGTTTACATTTTGTACCATCCAAAGGGGTAGTGCACAAGGTAAGGTAGGATCCGATCGTCTTCATAAGAGCGATTTTTGGAATATGAGCATCTAATAATCACTTTTTGGCCATTTTATCAAAATTGGTAAAATTCCCTTGCGTAAAAGGACATTAATTTGAAGAAAATTCACAAATGATTCTTCCTATTGAGACGATAAATAAATTGAGGCCAAAATTTGATTCTAGAAGGCTCATAGGCTAATGCATCGTAATAATTTTTTGAAACTACCAGTGGATAGATTGATAAGTTCTCAATTCCATTCAATCCATTGGACCATTTTCTTCATCAATTTCATCCAATCCATTTTATAAATTTATTCATTTTTAGGACAATCTAGTCGATTTTCGAATAAATCACCAAT